AATTAACCACATTAAACAATGAAACACTTACTGCATGCAACATAACACAGCAATGTGCTGGCTTCTAAGACAACTGTTCTTATTAAACTTTTGTCCCTTTATACCCTAAAAGACCAAGATTTATAGATTTTATGTCTCCCCACATGCCATTTTTCTTCTATTTTTTCGCATGCACTAGATCTTTTCATGTGCAAAAGCTGTTTTGTGTAAACATATTCTTAAACCCCAAGCCCTCGGGGTCAAGAAAACACACGTGCAGGAGTTTTTCAACTAAAAAAGACAGATTGTCTTCTAGTTAAGCTTGTGTTTTTCTCTACTCTCTCAATCTTAATTTCAATGCGTCTACATTAACAGTGTCCATTTGGTTCAGGGAAAATTCTCGCTCAATGGTTGGAAAATTAATGTGCTTGCTTGAGAAAGTGCTGGCCGAGCAAGGGGAATGTTCATTTCTAAAGCTTTTTTTTTTTATTTGTTTCATATTTTGAGAAGAGGCGAGAAAATAATGAGAGTATATTGGTTAAAGATTACTTGAAAAAGTCCTGCCAAAGAAAAGTACTCATTAAGAAAGTATAAATATATAGATGAAATTATTGTTACACATTTAATAATTAATATTATATTTTTTTAGTTTAATTGAAATTTTTATATTAGTAGTTTATATTGTATATTTTATCAAAATTTATTTATTTATTTTGATTTTGATTGTACAATGAGAGGCAATCATTTCTCATTTCTTATCCCACCCTACCGGCATACTATACGATTGGAATTTAAGATCTCTTACTTCCAATAAAAAGAAATAACTATTGAGTTACTTAGGTCATGGTATTTTTTATTTCTTATATGAATTAAAGATTATAATAATTAATTAAAATAAAAAATTTTAATATTATTAATTAAAGATATAACAATAATACTATCTTAAATATATATATATATATAAACAAAATGCTTAATTATTGTCACACATTTAATAATTAATATTATATTTTTTTAGTTTAATTGAAATTTTTATATTTAGTAGTTTATATTGTATGTTTCATCGAAATTTTATTTTTTGTTTTTTAAATGAATTAAAGATTATAATAATTAATCAAAATAAAAAATTTTAATATTATTAATTAAAGATATAACAATAATACTATCTTAAATATATATAAAAAAAGAAAAAAGAAAATGCTTAAAAAATATCATACCTTACACAAATGTTATTGAACTCAAATTTGAAAACTTTTATTTTAAATGTAAAAAATCCTTAGTTCGAATCGCTTAATATATAAATGAAATAAGATAAAGAATTAAAGATAATTTTTTCTTGTTATGCAATCAAGATTAAAAAAAAAAAAAAAACTCTTATTTCAAATGTAAACTACCCCTAAACGATCTAGTTTGTTGGTGGAATTTTGGTCATCGAATTTTAGCCGTCGTGGGTATTTTGCTGTTTGAATTTAGGGGAGAGTTGCTGCATGGTCTTTCTCCTTCTATGAGAAAAATACAAGGAGTGTAGGACCAAGTCTCTCTCCGCATTACGCGCCAACTAAGACCCAGCTGTAACGTCCACGTAGGCACTTCTCCAAAAAATAATTTACTGATAATTTTTAGATAGTGATGATATAGAGATAAATTTTTTATATTATTTTTTGACATAATTTATATATATTTTTAAATAAATAGATGTATTTAATATTATGAGTATTACATAAATAAAAAAATCAAT